AAGTTTCATACACACGAAGCTTCACTTTCGTTGATGCGTTTACAATAACGCGTGTAAATGGTCTCTCCCGGGAACATCTCTCTATCTTTCTCTCGAGGATCTTCCTATCTCTTTTTTTCTCTCTCTCTCTCTCTCTCTCTCTCTCTCTTGTACAAGCGTAGAAGCGTAAAAGCTCGAGCTTCTCAACGAGCATTTAAATTAATCGCGAGAGCGTCGAAATGGTCACCGACGAGCAGCAGCGTAAAGTTTTTCCGCTTTGTACGAGAGGGTTGTTAGAAGAGGACAGAAAAGGAGGAAAAGGAAAAGGAGGAGAAGGAGGAGAAAGATACTTTGAGAGAGAGAGAAAAAGAAGAGAAGAGTTTAACCCTTTGGCGGGCGAAGAGAAGTGTCGAAAGTCGGGAAGTTCCAAAGGAATGAAAAGACCTCGATGACTCTTCGTGGGACGTTAAGATCGAGATCGTTTTCTCGCGTCTGGATTTCGTCAATAATGACGACGTCAAAGAACGGATTGGTTTATCGCGCGCTTCTATATCCAGATGAAAGATACAATAAGAGACGTTTTCGAAAGGCTTTTATCATTCTCGATTCGAAATGGAATGGATTTACTTCTGTGTGCTTTTGCTTTTTTCATGAGAAAAGAAAAAAAAGGGATAAAGGCAACACTTAAAATTAACGCTTTACCAATCGCTAGCGTTTCAACAGCACACACACGTCCGAACGGTCGTTCAGCTGCAGGTTCTACTAACAGATTCTAATAACAAATTATACTGTTCATATATTGATAATGACTGTTCATCGCCATGTCAACCGATTAATAAGCTACCGGTCTGTGACAACAAAGCCTATTAATAGACTAGCGGTCGGTAAAGTGTTAATATTGTTGTAATTAACGATTAGAGTAATTTTTAGAAAGTACAGTAGAATATGTATGGTAGATAATTTGTTATTTCAATAATCAGAGTATGAAAGGAAACATATTAATTCGGTAAACCTCGGGGAGTTCCCTTTCGTGGAAATAAATCTTCAAAAAAGACGACCGACAGACCGGCGATGAAGAAGCTTCTTAGGTTTATTTTCGAACGACAGGCCGCGCCAACGAATTGTATATTTATCGAGGAAACAATTCGCCGAACTTTTACTACATTTAATTCCGTCCTCGTTGGCGGTTCACGTACATCGAGATACTGGGTGGTCCATGGATGCTACGCGCTTCTTCTTCTTCAAGCTTCTTCCTTCCCCTTTTTCTACGGGTATGTCGGCAACGACGCTTAACATCGACTTTGTCTTCCTCGAATACGATTATTTTCTTACAAAATTATTCTATTCTTTGATACTTTACCCTTGTTGCAAGAAATCATTGCAAAGATAGTTCGTTCGATTTGTCATTCATATTTTCTTTTTTTTCTTTTTTATTTACAACTTCGATATCTTCTTGTTATATACAATTTGGCCGTAATCAACATTGAATTTATTTTAATTGAAGATCGAACAACCTAAATTATTAGATCACATTTTGGTCATTTAAGCGTACACGTGGTACGATCCAAAGTTAGGTAGTTTTTATTCGTTGGACGGATTCAAGGTTGGAAACTCCGGAAGTGCAGCTGCTATCTATTTCTCTTTCTCTTTTTCTATCCCCTTCTTTCTTAGGTCACGCGAAATTTATACGAAAGTTAATCTCGTCTTGTGAGCTTGTAGGACCTGGTCGAAACGAAGAAGAAACGGGTAAAAGGAGTAGGATGGTACGTGTACGATGATAATAATAAACGTTCCTCTTTCTCTCTCTCTCTCTTTCTCGTACACGCGTACACACGCTCGTTCACTCTTCTCTCCATCTTTCTCAACTTCAATCCTTCTTTCTCGCAGCATATGCGGGACCGTGGCGGTGCCTTTGATCTCTCGCTTCGTTTGTGCATTTAAACACGGCTTTCCGAGTAGTAGAGAGGAGCCTAAGAGAGAGAGAGAGAGAGAGAGAGAGAGAGAGAGAGAGAGAGAGAGAGAGAGAAGATGAGAGCGAGAAAAGCGACTCGAGTGGTCGGGCAAAATCTCGTGCAGACCTCAGAGACGCAAAGTGAGTTTCGCGATTACAAACGAGCCCTCCTTCTTACTCTTTACCACCCCTTCGACGTCCACCTATCTTCCCCCTCTCTCTTTCTCTTATACACCCTTCCACTTTTTCTCTACTTTGTCACTCTTTATTGCTGGCATCGTAGCAGTACCCTTCGAATATCCGCTTTTTTTCGAGGATAACTCCTCAAGATGAATGCTCTTTAATGGACTCAATGCCGTGGAAATATTTCACGCTGGTTTCATTTTCGGTTCTCTTTCGAAAACGAACCTTTCAACGTTTCCGGATAAATAAATGCTACGGAGATTGATTAAGTTAGACTACGGATCGAGAATACAATTCGTGTACTTGATTTAGAATGAAATTTAAAATAAGAAAATATCAAAATAAATAATTCAGTTACATTGTCTCCCCAAAAAAATGAAATGATTTTTCATTAGAAATATGCTCTAGTTAAAGGTGCATCTATTTGGATTTATTTATACGTCTGTGGATGGAAATAAAGTTCGCGTTATAATATATAGAAGGCTGCTGCTGGTAGGAAACATGTTAAAAAGAATACTCGTGAAGAATCAATGACTCACGAGACGTCGTTAGCCAAATTAATCTCGAAAGTGATTCTCCCTTCTCCTCGGACAATCAATCGTTGGGATTCGAATAGCTTGCTGAGTTGGGATTAAGTTCGTACGTGTATATATGTTCTTCAGATAGAGCTCGTTTTTCGTTCTTCGTCATGTCGAAAGGGTTACCTACCATCCTTCTACTAGAGGTGTGCGATAAAAAGTCGATGATGGCAACAGCTTGCCATGGGTTCAAGTAAAAGGATTGGACGGTTATGGCGGAGGGCCAGTCAACCGTTAATAATGCTACCTCAGGGAAACTCCGTGTAGAGTCAGTAGTCCTCATCGTCATCATCCTCTTCTTTCATTTTCTTTTTATTTTTCTTTTTTTTCTTCTTCTTCTTCTTCGTCGTCGTCGTCGTGGTCTACCTCGACGTCATAGTTCTCTACCTCGTTGTCGCCATTTTACGGATAACCAGACATCCATGTAAAGTAAATTCTCATCGCATTCGTTTCGTACTTTCTCTCGCGTTTTTTTTTCTTTCTTGTTCTTTCTTTCTATCTTCTCCTCGCTCTTTCAAAACGTATCTCCTGAATCGATGTGCGACGCTGCTTTCGCGTGAATTCAGTGCTCGTCGAGGATTCGACTGAAAGGAAGATTGGAAAAAAGAAAAAAAAAGAAAGAGAGAGAGAGAGAAGAGGAGACATTCGCGAGAAAGTTTCCCGATACATGGTCTGTAATTAACGAGACTCGTCTCTATTCCCTTCTTCTTCTTATTTTCTTTTTTCCTTTTTCTTTTTTTTTATATATATATATATATACGGTGGATCTTACTTATTCGGATAAAACGATCCGTCAAATTATACATTTCTTTTTCCATTAACGCAATATTTACGAACTTGTGAAAGCTTATTTGTTTTTTCTTTTTTTTTTAATTGACGAATGACGAAAAAGAAGATATTTATTTATAATTTGAAAAGTTGACGATGACAGGTGAGAAAAAAACGGAAGGAACTTTTTCTCTCGTTCGAATTAAAGGAAGGAAACCCCTCACGTTGTCCAAACGCGTCACTCCGATCTTTCCAAACTCATCCGATGACAAGTCCTTAACCTTCTACTCGCGTGTCTTCTTACTAACCAAGGTATCGAGTTCGGTCTCTCTTAAAAGGAACACGAAAATCTATATGTATTACAAGCTGAGGGATTACTTACGAAATAAAATATAAAGACAAAATAAATAAAACGTCTATTTGCGAAATATGAGACAGGAAAAGAATCCAATCGGTTCATGCGAAAATAAATAATGTGTTGCTCTTACAAATAATTTTACAAAATTATAATCAAACTGACGTAAAATAAAACAAATTATATCGAATAAATGACGATATATAGTATATCGGGAAAGGTGAAACATGATAGAAATTTCGAGATAAATCATCTAACAAAAGTGCAAAGGAAAAAGTTAAATGTGGATAGAACTAGAGAAAAGTCATAAAGCGAGTAATTTTTCTTTTGTTTCTCTTGGTTTTTTTTTTGTTTTTTTTTTTTTTGAAGGAATTATATAGCGAGCATCCGTCTAGACGCAACCCTGTCGAGAGAAGACTCCGCAGGTTGGACAAACGAAATGTACGGATGGACGATTGCAAGGGGGGCGGGTTGGGAAAGAGGGTGGGAAGAGTAGCTGGAAGAGAAGGTGAGGAGAGGAAAGGAGAGAAGAAGGAGAGGATTCTGCGCTTCTCCGTGTGCCTCCATGCTACCGATCTTTTATTTAGTTCGATTAAATCCGTAGCGAGCCATCCGTTTGGTTTTATTCCCATTTCCAGGTCTTCTCTTCTCGATCACGTTCAAGCAAAAAGACAGTAGGACGAAATCGAGCTGACATTCTCAGGCATCAGTCCTGATTTTCTTTCTTTCTTTCATTCTTTCTTTTTTTTTCTTTTCTTTTCCTTACGGTACTTTTATTTCTCCTTCAATTTCGTCTTAGATCTCATTCTCTTTCTCCTTCTTTTTCTTCTTCTTTTCGTCCATAAGAAATCGTTTTACCTCAAACATTTTCTCGTTAACGCGGTATTGGACACGACCGGAACCATTTTCTTTCCGTTCACATTTCTATCTTATTTTCTCTTTTCAATACTCATTTATTATTCATTTGAAAGTACGTCGATTCGATAAAAACTTTGATCTTATATTTGATTTTATAATAAGATATATATATATATATATATAATATAATACATCAAAGGGGATTATTAATTTTTCATTATATTCCATAGATATGATATATTCCAAAGAAAAATTCATGTAATTATATTATTAACCGTTTCATCGACTTGTGATCAATTAGATTGACATTTTTTGTCTTTGATTTCAGGGATAAGCGAGGCAAGCGTGCAACTGCAACAACCAAAATTGCCATCACCCATTCAGGTCGGTGGCGAGGTCGAGCTACGATGTCACGTCGATGGATCCGGAGACATGAAATACGGCTGGTTCAAGTTAGTTATAGAACTTTGGCTATTCCGTTCGCCGTACATGTCGGCGCGTAATAAACGTTGGGGCCAATAATTTCTCGAAAAGCCGCGATGAGAGAGAGAGAAAGAGAGAGAGAGCAAGAGCCGGGAAAAGCGAGAGAGAAAGAGAAAGAGGAAGACAGATAGAGCAGATAGATAGAGTGAGTAACAGGCAGGTAGAAAGAGAGAATGATGGTGCGGTGCTGGGACAATGCAAACGTGAACCTAATTTGCTTGGTAACTGACACCAGCATTTATGGCACCGACCGTGAATTACTTACGAAGTGACACTCTTAGTTTCAACGTGTCCATCAACCGATCTTTCATGAGCCAACCTTCCCGACTAAATATTTTTTCCCAATAATTGGAAAGAGTTCAAGTAAAAAGGGGCTCTCTCTTTCTCTTTCTTTCTTTCTTTATTTATTTATTTGTACCTTTTTTTTACGCAATAGTGAAATTCGAATTTCTAATAATAATTTTACTCCAAGTTTCGGTTTTCATTATATATAGTGTACAAACAATTATTATAATAAATATTTATATATATTTATATTAATTTGTTTAGGAACAAAGTGAGCCTAACAAAAAGCGATCGGCTCGAAATAAAGAAAAAGAGATTGCACATACATCGCGTAATGCCAGAAGACAGCGGAATGTACACTTGTGTTGCACAAAACGAAGCTGGTTCATCCCCCATTAGCGATAGTTACCCTCTGGTGGTTACCGGAAACGAGACGGCTACGATCAAACTTGTCCCAAGGAATTTAATAGTAAAACGTGGCGAGCCAGCGGTTTTTGATTGTTTCTTCGAGGATGCTGACGTTGTCCAGTGGTTTTTTAATAATATGGGACCGGTAGAATCGGACGAAGAAAAGACCGTTTACGAAAATGGCACCCTTCAGATACGCGTCGCTGAACTCCGGGATAATGGCTTTTATTCCTGTCATGGACAAAGGGGTGACACCACGCAAACCTACACGGTCGAATTAAAGATTGCTTGTAAGATGTTAATTATTTTTTCGTTTATCTCATTGCGATTATTCGTGAAATTTCTGATCACACATTTTGTGCTACTAATATATGTGGGTTGTTAAATGGATCATAATGTTCTAATAGATCGAATATATACCACCACGAAGACCCATTTAAATGAATCATAATAAGCTTCTAATCTCGACGATAAAAATTCGGCGTTTGTCAATCTATCCATTCATTCATATCTCTTTTAGCTCTGAATAATCTCTCCGCGGCATCATTCGAACCCACTTTACCGAATCAAGTGGCTATAGTCGGCGAAGATCAGGAATTACAAGTAAGCTGTTTGCAACCTTGTGGTGTGCCGACTCCTAAGGTTTATTGGAGAGATCCCAAGGGACATATTATAAGCGACACAGGTCCCATTCGCGTCCAGGACAATACCCTCATTATTGCGAAAGCTCAAATAAACGAGGACGATGGAAATTATACTTGCGTGGCAGAGAATCTAGCTGGGGAGACGGACATGTCAGTACAAGTGGTCATATCAAGTGAGTCTGGCATTGAGCATTTTACTGATCTTTTAAAATTAGCCTAATTGATTGAATTAATTTGATAAAAATTAATGGAAATAATATTCCTATTAGCTCTACCGACATTGTTGAGTTCGCCGGAATCGTTAAGCGTGATGGAAAGTGAACCCGTTACAATGACTTGTTCCTATTCCGGCATGGAAGCACCCGTTACGCACGTTCGATGGTTCAAAGATGGCGAACCCTTAAAAGAAACCGGTGGACCAACGAGACATCGAGTGACCGATCATCACGGTAACGTCACCTTACACTTCAAAAGCGTTGACCTATCGGACAAAGGTATCTACGCTTGCGAGATTGAAACTAAGGGCTTTTTACCGATCTTCTCCGATCCTGCTACCTTAACCATCGAGGAAAAGCTTAAATTTTCCCCACCGCCTGTAAACAAACGTCTAGAACTTGGATCGACAGCTAAAGTTTCTTGCAAAGCTCAAGGTGCTACTAATCCTACGGTTAAGTGGATTAAAGAAGGCAACGGAGAAGATTTTCCAAAACACGTGCAGGATATCAACGGGACGCTTCATTTCAATGGCGTTTTGGAAGAAGACAAAGGTCGTTATACTTGTATAGCTAGTAATATGCAAGGATCGATCAATCATACGATTAACATCGATGTAGTGAGTGAGTAGAGATTTGAAACAAACTTTTCTACTTTCTATTAAAGCAATATTCAATTTTGTTCTTTCTTACTATTTGCTTTGGCTAAGAATCTTTCGAGTTATCATAGAAACTATTCGAGATTGATTTCTTTGAAGATTATTTTTCATATGCAATACTCGTTACAGTTGCACCCAAGTTCACGATTCAACCGCAAAATCCCACCGAAGCGATAGAAGGCTACCCAGTAATGTTGCATTGTGCCGCCGAAGGCGATCCTAAACCTACCATACAATGGGACAAAGACTCCCGTATGAATAATTTGGACAATCCCCGTTTCGAAGTACTTCCTAATGGAAGTCTTTACATCAAGGAAGTCTATCTTGGCGATGAAGGAAAGTACGGTTGCACGGCTGGGAATAGTGGTGGTTTGAAGAGAGAAGAAGTTCAGTTAAATGTGAAAGGTATGCCTTTCTTGATCTTTCTTTTTCTTTCCGCTCGAAGTAATCTATTCTTTTTCTTTGCTTTCTTAGCTGGCGACAGCTATAGGTCGGATTTGGATTTGGAAGCTGGCGACGATGGCTCGATGATGACAAAGACTGTGACTATCACGCTTAGCGCTGCAGCAGCTTACATGGTTCTCGTTGTTGGTCTAATGTTGTACTGCCGTTATCGGCGTCGCAGGAGGAAGCAACAATATCTTCAAGAACAAGCTGAAGGTACGTATTTTAAACATGCAAATTGAATATATCCTATATTTGGAACGAACAAACATATCAAATTTGTATTTCCTTTGAAATGTTCTTTTCAATAGAAAAATTAGAGAACGGCGAAGTTCAGGAGGAACAAACGGAATTGAAGGAGACCACCACCCACAAAACTAATTCTACGAGCAAGAAGAAAGAAAATCGCGATTCTCAAAACAAGAGCGACGGAGCTGACACGGCACAGAGTCAAAGTAGCAATCAATCGAAGAGATCAAAGTCGAATTACGACAAGATAGCGGTATCGCGAACCAACTTGAAGGAACTTAAGCCGTTGGGTCGAGGTGAGTTCGGTGAGATTTATGCGACCAAGTATCAATTGGACGGGGATAAGGAAAGTCTCGTGATGGTGAAAAGTTTGACTAATACGAAGGACGAGATAGCTTTACAGGAATTCAAACGACACTTGGATCTATTGCACAAGCTAAATCACGAGAATGTTGTTAAATTGATAGGATTGTGTCGGGAAGAGGAACCTGATTATATGATTTTAGAATATACGGATTGGGGAGATCTGAAGCAATTTTTGATCGCTTCGAGAAAGGACAACAATAGTAGTCCATCGCACGAAACGAAGCAACCTCGGGCACCGCAGCTGTCGGTAGCACAGATATTGTCCTTGTCCAATCAGGCTGCCAGAGGTTTGAAACACCTTGCTGACAATCGATTGGTCCACAAGGACATAGCCGCTCGTAATTGTTTGATTGCCAGTAATCTGACCATCAAAATCTCTCTTCCTTGCATGAGCAAGGAACCTTATCATCAAGAGTATACGAAACATCGGAACCACGTGATCCCTCTGAGATGGCTTCCGTACGAGGCCGTCTACGAGGACGAGTATTCGACCAAAAGTGACGTCTACTCTTTCTCTTGTCTCGTATGGGAGATGTTTCATCAGGGCGAGTTACCCTTCAACAAGATGAACGACGAATCCGTGCTGGCTCAGTTGAAGACTCAAACGCTAACGTGGAAGCCTCACAAAGCAGCCCCACCGACTTTACAGGAACTTCAGGTGCAGTGTTGGGCGAACGATCCGAGAGAGAGGCCAACCTTCGACGAGGTTGTCTCGAAAATAGGTGAAATCGTCGTCGATAGTTGTCTCTAAGTTATTTGTCGTTGTCGTCGTGAAAGAAAAGGAAAAAACAAAAAAATACAAGTAACATACGAGCCTCCAAATTAACTGAATACTGCGATAGGGATAATAATTGTGTAAGGCTGGTGTAGGCGCAAACGACGTGATCGAACGTTATGGTTGCTTCGATGTGAAAACAGGAAATAATATAATAGAAAAAACAAAACGAAAAAAATAACTAAATCGTCCAAGATTGCAAGATCTTAAGTGTTCTTTCTCGTCGAGTGTATATAACTGAACGTTTATATCGTTATTTTGATATAAAGATTACTTTACATTGAAAGTTTAGAGATATGGTAGAGTGTACTTAAGCTCGAAATTTTTAATATACATTTTTTATTACTGGTTTCACATCGTCGTACTGGTTGTCGTACGTTGAACAAAGATCGATAGGCTTCATCGCGAAAATCATGACTGTCGTTATTAAATAATTAATAGGCCTCGCGCAACGCTTGATATCGATCATATATCTTAGCATGTTGAAGTATATAGAATCATCAGGCCTTTGTGTAAATGGAAACGCTTACTCGCTGATTACTCGTCGAAAAGGTATCGTCGTATTAAAAGCGATACGTCCTCCACTATGATACGAAAATAACATCTCATTCGAGCATCCTTTCGATATACAGGAAGTCCGAGATAATAAAAAGAAACAAATATTCGATTGGGTCTTAAAGCTCTTTCATAATAAATAAAAAAAATGATTTGATGAATGTTCACGAGGGAATATTTCGATGATTGTTTTTCATTAAGAATCAGCTTTAGAATCTAAGGAATTATTCATCTCTCACTTCCATAATAACATTCTGTATACACGTGGTGACATATTTTAGATAACGAGTTTAAAGTATGAAAATGAAAAGAAAAAGAAAAAAGAAAGAAAATCTATTCGATGGTCGGCCGTTATGAAGGAGGAATTATTTTACACCTGGCGATGATGCATTAGCCATCGGAATCGCGTAATCGAGGCGGCACGTTTTGCGTGATTGCGAGCGTCGCTGATTAAACTCTTCGCAATCATTATTCGTATTACGGTGTTTTTGTCGCGTCCATTAGATAAGGGTAATGATATTTATTTCTAATTAGGATGTCCGCTCCAATGAATGCTACCGTGTCCAGGTTAAATAATATTAATATTAATATTATTAATATAATAATTAACAAAAATAATAATAATAATAATAATAATAATAACAATAATAATAACGATAATCATCCATACGAATCCAATACACGTAAACGATATTATACACTTAAATGCAATACTTAGTATTCAATATCAATATGTAATAATTATAATAATAATAATAATAATAATAATAATAATAATAATAATAATAATAATAATAATAATAGGTATGGTCACTACATCGAATACTCTTAAGATAAGTAACTCGATAGGAAAATCGAAGAAAAGTAATGACGCGAACGTTTTTCATCGAAATCATTTTTTAAGAGAAAGCAAGAATGGTCACGAATAATTAAGAAAGTATCGCTATTATGTTATTGCAATTATTATAACGACGAACGCGATCTTGTCTAAGCATAATTTGATTTTTATTCTATTTTACTTTTATATCGCAACAATTTTCGCCATTCGTACGTCGTTGTTGAAAAGCAAAAAGAATGAAAGAGAACAAAAATGAGAGACAGACTTGTATATACCGACTGTGTAAGTTGGATTCTTTTAACGTTTCTTTTTGTTTCTTTTTTTTTTTCATTGTTCAATGAATTGTAATAAATTTTCACTATTTTTTGCATCGTACGCGATAACGATAATTTTTATAATATATATACATATATATATATATATAATTTTATTTTATTTTATTTTATTTTATTTTTTACTTTGTAATATTTGTAGATAGATTTTAAAATGATTTCCAGCGCAAATTATGTGAGATCTTTTACCGTTGAATAAGAAGGAAAATATTTGGAAAAAGTATGGTCCCAACCGTACAACATATTTACAACGAAATAATTAATTTAAGTTTAGGGCGATAGAGATGATCATGCCGATTAGAATTTTGTTTTTTCAAGTATACAACGATGAAACAGACTTTTTAATACTACGTATAATTGATTTAAACGTATCAACGATATTATTGTAAAACTTATCGTTTAAGTTTGGTAAGGCAAACAGAAAAAGAATACAAAACAGCGAAAACTTTTTTTGTTTAAAAGTCATAAGGAGTTAAAATAATTTAATGATAAATGATAGTAATCGTGTATACGTATTTTATTACGTATCTATGCCTAAGTATTCCAATTATACTTGCTATCGGTATTTATGCGAGTTATGGTCGATTGAAAAGAGACAAATCTAATTGCGTATATAATTTATACAAAATGAAAGTACATTGTAAACAATTAAGCTTTTTTTTTTTTTTTTTTTTTTTTTTTAACTGAGCACGAAGCATGCACGTGTCGTTAAAGAAAAGTTCGATCGATCGTTTAAATATCTTATCTTTTTATACGAATCATATTGGAAAACAATTCGTAACGATTCGCATAAATTTTCGGATATTACCGAACCCCGATTAATTTTCCAAAGTTCGAATAAAAATATTGAAAGAATGAAAGAAAAAAAAAAAAGGAAAAAAAAGCAAAAAAAAAGATAAGATGTGATAGAGGATTCGTATAAATTCGATAGGTAAAAAAAACCTTTAGCTTTGTCCTTTTCTTCATTGGACGACTCTGTATACGTGTAAACGCATAATGTATCATACATGCATACATACTCACATACTATTGTACCGTATATAGGCATACAAATTATCAAGGTATCAAACACTGCCAATGGTATCTAATGCGATATTAAAGTGTCATAATCATGTAACAATAAGTGTGAGCGTTCGCGAAATTTCTAGACAAGAATATAAAAAGAATAAGATTAACATTGAATGGAAAATATAAGGAAAACACAGAAAAAATACGAAAATGCACTTTCGTCGACCATGAAAAACAAAAAAACGAACAGAATTCTTCCTTAAACTCGCTTCCGTTTTTGTTTGAAATATTTCGCGAAGAGATCGTGAAATAAATTTGCACGATAATCCGTTATAATTTGAAATAATTCAGTATCATATACTTGGTAAAAAGACAAAAAAAAGAAAAAAGAAAAAAAGGGAAAAAGAAAACTAATTATAAAGACCGATAGAAATTTTTGAGATCGTTCCAGTCGACAATTTCTGAGATGCTTCCTTGATGTTTTTAAACGATATTTAAACGCTGAGAAGTATTCTTATATGTATTATAAGTGCATGTTAGGAACATACCTTGCAACGATCTCTTATCCCCATTCTACCCACCCCCACTGTCCCAGTATACTTCAAGGTCGTGTGAAAGAATAAGAAAAAGAAAAAGAAGAAGAAGAAAAAAAGAAAGAATTTACAAAAGCAAAGCCGTACGTTCATATCATTTTTTAGAAAGCTGTTTTACGAAAAGATGATCACCTATCGTCGCATCGTCTTAGCAAGATAAAGCGATCTGTCTATGCCTAATCCTAATATCTAGTCATGTACGGTGACGTGGCGAGTAAAAAAAGAAAAAAGAAAAATAAGGAAAAAGTAAGAAAAAAAGAAAAAAAAAAACAAAAACACGAAAGAAAAAAAGATAACAGCGAATCGGCGATTTATACACAAACCTTTCATATCCTTAGGCGCTCGGAATCTATTTCTTTTTTACAGTATTTTGTAAATATTTGTACTTTTTTATCTACGTCGTACTCTCAAATTTTTGGAATAATATGTGCTACGATTAAATAAAATAAAGAAGGAGAAACGAAAGGTATATAATATATTATATATATATATATATATTATATACATATATGTATGTATTATGCCCCCTCATTCATTTATATTTTTTTTTATTGTAATATTTCTAATTATTTATTCTCACAATTTTGACTTAGTTTCCGAGAAAATCATGCGTTGAAAAATTATCTGGAATTATTCTATCATACACCGAACTATCAATTATAAATACATTTTTTTTGTCCTTTATACGCTTTTTCGTGTTCATTTTTCTCTGTAATGTTTATACCGTATTTTCGGCAACTCGATTTATTATTTCTCGTTGACTTACAATTCGACGAGCTGTGACCGTGACGTTATAATAACTAACGTGTGAAATTATAATATTTCTCCCACTCTTCTCTGCTCTCAAAATACTAATTTATTTTTTAGAATACATCATCGTGATTATTAATATATTATAAAATTTAAAAAATTCGAATCGTAAAAATTAGCTTGCACTATTTTTCATTATTATTAATAATACGTCTGCCTGATGATTATTATTAAACGATAAATGTTATCATATCCAAATCTTTGCTACGCAGACGGGAAAAGGAATTACAATTACAGAAAACGGAGCAGAGTGCGATTACTTTCATTATAATCGTGAATCTCTTGTTAGTAAAATGAATTTAATTAAATTACGAATAATGAAATACGATTTTTTTTAAAATGAGGCCCAAATGAAAAAATGTTAAATCATTTCTTCGGCTTATTTGTACACGTTTAATCATCCATTGCTTGGATATACATACTGCGGATTTAGGATTAGAACGACGCAGGAGAAGAAGAAAAACGGGTAAGAAAAAAAATAGGTTTGTATATTACCTAATCAAATTTATTTTTACGTAATTTCATGGTACAGTCTAAACCTATTACGATATATAAAATAACGTAGTCGTTTTAATGTAAAATCGGGAGAAAGTAAAGTTAAGAGTAAGAAAAACAATAGGGGGTGAAAGAATATGTGTATATATATATATAGATATATATATAAAAGGAAAATATACGCCGACTAAGTAGCGCCCAGAAAAGAATCGAGTCAGAGGCAGTCGTACAGTGATCCGATATCTCTAAAATCAACTGCTAGATATATATATATACATATATATATATATATATATAAAGTTATCATCAACGCATCGACGCAAAGAGTATGTCCGTAGATAATATATATATATATATATATATATAAATATATATATACATATATATTTATATAAATTCTAATTGAGAATTATATTTAATCCATATTACTTAGTATACTTAATTCATTAATTTAATATGCAGCCTCACTCTCTAATAGTACTAAATATAATTGGTAATTGTATTAATGCGATAATAATTATCGTTTAAATATAGATTATTAACATTCTAAATAATATAATAGTCGGAATTCGTATTAATAATAATAATAATAATAAACAATAGTACAAAGTATTTTTTATGCTTTTAGTTTTTTAAATGTTATCATATAGTAATATAATTACAATAGCGTATTCTGAAAAATAGATTAGGGTCCCGTGGGCAGAGGGCGGAGTAGCATCGTCAATCGACCCCAAATTTCTCGATAACATCCGCCATCAATTTTCAATTATTCGTCATTAGAAATCTGAAAATTGTCAAGTTGCTTATTCGAAATTGGCGTCCCTAAGATGAGTTCCGAAACATCGTGGGCGTCTTACATCAGATACTTTCTGTCTTCGGTTCATTTTCGAAATGGCAACGTGCTTCATTTATATTCTTCCCTTTCATTCGATTTCTTTTTTTCCTGTCGACAACGATTCCTAATGACATACGTTCGTCAATCAATTTTCTTTTTTTTGTTCACCTTGTCGCGTCTATTAACGAGTCTCTGCCACTCTGCCTAGAGAACCCACTATAACAGGGCACTATGAACAGCAGTCTGCTGGCTAAGTGACTTTCCGAATCAACGATCGCTTCATTTCACTCATTCGTCTCTCTCTCTCTCTCTCTCTCTCACACTCTCTCTCTCTCTCTCTCTTTCTCGTGCACCCCATACATTCATTCACCCTCTTTCTTTCAATGTTCTCTCGTTCTCATTCGTCCGCATACACATTTCCCTTTTTCACACTCTATCTTTCTCTCTTTTCTCCCTTCCAATCGTCGCCATTTATATTTTTACATATTTCATCAACGCCATTTTTGTCGATATTATAAAACGTTGGCCGTCGTCCTTTTGATCCATTCCACAATTTGAGAAAAATGATGAAATGAAAGATATATTATCGATAACGTTGTTGACGAATACAAATGGGTCGTCGTTGGCAGCGTATATGAACGGCAAATCAACATCGAAGAAAAATTGTAGAAACGGCGAATATTTTTAGACGACGTGAAGGGATATCCTGGGATCGTATGATCCTTGCTTTTTATTTTTCCCTAAATTTTTGTAACTGACAATCAGATTTGAAACGTACTAGAAAAATGTACGTACGATTGAGAAGCGAGTTACCACGAGCATAAACGTATCATCATCTCTCTTTCACATAATCATCGCACTCGTTAAAATC